TCATATATTTAGTAAAGAGTATTTAAAATTTTATTTATATTTTTTATTAAAATTTGTTAGGCCTTCTTCTGTTCTCTTCGCATGCCACTAATAGTAATCGTATCTTTTGCCACCTCTCTTTTGTCTGTTTGTTAATGCATCTGCTTAATTCTTGTTGTACTCTGTTACTGAATTCTTGAATCAAGTTCTTAACACCATTATTGACATTGATTTTTCATCATTCTCCCAACATGTTCTGTGCTGTTTTATTAATGTGTCTGCCTCCTCTTGTAATATCACTAATTTTTTGCAATTGATTTCTTGAGCATGTGGAGTGAACTGGAGTGATGCTATGATGGGAAACACTTGCTTGTTATGTACTATTCTTAAGTTACTAGGAATAGTCAGGGCATCTACAATGGCCACCAGATCATAATGTAACTAAATTTCACTAATTACTTTTTTGTTGTGATAATTGTGTGCTTGGTACTTGAATCATGCAAGCACAGACTTGTTGACTTTGTATACAATGTTATCAGATGGATGAGTTGTATTCTTTCATCAGATTATATTACTTCCAACTATATCCTCACATATAATGTTAGACATCGCGTTCACGTAACAGTTAGTAATTTTGGTGGGGAACTTCATTATTCGTAAGCATAATAACATAATTATGCCCTAAAACAACTCGTGTGGTGGATGATTCAAGTCTCTTCTGAGTTTATGTTACTTTGACTGCCAACTTTTCAAGAAACGACTAAGGTCTGCAGCTGCTCACTTATTCTTTGTTCCATTTGTTATCATTCCTTCTTTCCGTTTAGTTCCCAAATTTGGCACCGCTGCAAGGAGCATTACCAAATGTGGATGGTCATTCATCCATACTGCATACATCCAGCTTACCCACCCAACAATGGTTACCCCAACAGCAAATTCTGTCAGCTGTGCCTCAAAGTAAAATAATAAATCTTTTAATTTGTGTTTTCTGGCATGTTATCATAATTGACTAATAATTCATTGATGCCAATGGTTGAATTCAATCTTCAGGTCCGTATATGGTACAGCAAGGTGCAAGTCCTATACGCCAGTCACCAACTATAGCTATGTTTCCTGTGACGTAAGTCTCTTGGAGTTAATTTGTTTTTTTCTGTGTATTTATTTTCTTCAACAATCAATCTGAACCTACTTAGAGTATTCATAGATCAGGAAGTCGTAAATGATTCAGAAGCAATAGATTTGGTGCAGTGGTCATCAGTCTGTCAAAAGTGCAATGCGTATTATTTGTTTCATTTGCAATATCTATGCAGTATGTTATAAGCTTGATTAAATGTTAGAAATCTGTGTTTCACTTATAGGGATGTTAAAGTTGTATTATGTCATGCTCATGGGTTCTTGTGATTTCTTTTTTATGGCTCCTTTACCTGTTCTTAGATTCCATTTTAATAAAAAATCTGGTGAAATACTGGATTATAACATTCCACATTAATTGGATACATATCACAAGTTTGTACCTGAACACTATATGATAATACTTCTTTTACCGGTAATTTTGTTCTTTTGAATTACGCCACAAATTACAAGCGGCTAAGTTTTGGTTATATGGCTGCAGGCATCAAGCAATCAGAGGTTTTAACATGGAAGGAGCTTCTTTTAATTTACCAGGGAGCGATCAGCATTTAGCAACCAGAAACTACCAACCACAACCCCCAAGTACATTTGCTCCTCCTGGAGGAAATCCTTTCGGATAAACATGCATTGATACGGCTGACTGGTTCATGCCTTGGATCTCTCCATGCATTGCCTGGTAGGCGTTAAGATTGAAAAGTCTGAGCTAGCTTGTCTGATTAAGAGAGCCAAAGGGTTGGTGCAGTGAAGAATATCTCAAGTTGATTTTTAATGGCAGTAGCGAGAAGATGTGCTGTAATAATAGCATTAGAGAGGTAGAACTTCTCTTGATGAGAAGGTTCTGGCAAATGTCTTTTCTTTTTTTATTTTTATTTTTTGCTGCTTTTCATACATATACTGAAGCGTGGCTTGATGTGCCAATTGTACGTGTTTGTATGCTTGTCCAGGTTTCCTAGATGCGCGAAGCACTTGTTTGATCTCTTTAATCGTGTTGATGATTGTTTCAGCCCGGAACTGTAGTAATTTCCGGAAACTAGTAGGTTATCTTTTAAGTTATTTTTCCTTGGGGACCATGACGGATGATTGTAATTTGTATCATCTAGCTGCCGACTGTTTGTCATCAATCGCAGATAAGACTGAGGTAGCATCGAGCCGATGCTGATGTGGGTATGACACTTGGTCGATGTGTTGGGAGGACGTTGAATCGGATAAGATGTCATGGATCTGTTACGAGGACATTGGTCGATATGTTTATGTGTTGAGTTTTTTTATCATCTATTTTTATTGTGTTTCAGTATGCGGAAGATGTCAGAACATAATAACCATTTTGATCTGTTTGGAGATCAATGCTGCTTCTAGCCTCACCCAACTATGTTGAAGATAATCTTGGTTTGTGGTTGGTTGGATTCGATTGTATAGAAAACAAATCATTGTTAGATTTCATCATCAAGGATGAAGGATATACTTCATGGTAAAATTCAATTGCATTAGAATAAAAGGAAGTTTCACATCAGTGTAAGAGTAGGAATGTTTTATGGTTGGATTCGATTGTGTTGAAGGCAAATCGTGGTTAGATTTTGTCGTCAAGGATGAAGGATACTTGATAGTAAGATTCAATTGCACAATAAGAAAAGGAAGCTTCATAATCAAAGTCGACTGCATTAGCCGAGATGTTGATCCACTCGTGTGATTGGAGTTAGTATGCATAACCACTTTTAGTGTGTCTTGGTTATGGTGCCTGGATGTGAATCAAGTCTCGACAATCTGAGATCATTGTTTAACTATCGATTTTTCCCTAGTCAATCAAGTAAGTAGTTCGACCTCAACATCCAGTTGAACCCTTAAAAATTTAAGGAAATTATGGGCATGTCGCCCCATTAGTTGATCCATCGAGCAAAGAGAGGGTTTGAGTGACAAAGTCACTGGTTGATCAACAACCCCTAAGAAAAGGATAATTTTTTAGTTTTCATTGTCTTTATGCTTACTAAGAATTTTGGCATTGTCGAACCTTTAAAATTTCAGCATTCACTAATCTCTCGAAACCCTTTTCCAAAGGTCCAAAATGTCTTCTACTTTATTATTTTTTTTCTAGAAATTAGATTGATTATCAATTATTTTGCCTCTCTCAACCTTTACTAACTACTCTTCTTCCTCAAAAAGATTAAAAGTAATTATTGCGGGGGAGGATGTCCCTTCATGATGATTCCTTCGGATAGTGAAGCGCTATAGTTCATGATAAGCTCCTTTTTTGTGTTAGTTATGAAGATTATGGCTATCTCCAATCTCTATTCTTCACTGCTCGATCTTATGATCAGTTTCATATGCTAAATCATTATTTTTACACTTACATTGACACACTGGAGGTGCAAGTTTAATTCCCTTTCCTCCTTCCCTTCTTTATTATGATATTTCTTATACAAGAGAAACCTCACTTGTTTAGGTGGCATCAAACTCATAGCAGTACCTTGTATCGTTTGCGAGTGTCGTGGTCTTCGCATTGACACGATGCTTATCTTATTACATTCGTGCAATAACATTTGTGGTTCAACATATTTCCTTTCAACCCAAAACAAATATAAGGTCCATAGGGGCACCAAGCACTAGCAAGAATTGGAATGAATATTTTTTTTCTATATTTCTTCGTCGGAGCTCTAAAGGGTGTGATCCTTCCAAATCTCTCGTGTCTTGTTTAAATCCAATGCCATCTCCCAAATGAGTGTATTTGGAGCTCCTTGTTTTTATACTTGAGTTTTTTTTCTAAATTCTCATTCGTGACTTAGCTTTTATTCTTATAGAACTAAAATTCTCGAGAATTCTCTTTTGAGCAACCGATAATAGGAAAAAAGAGAAAGGCCCTTAAATCCTCCCGATCGAGAGAAAAGCATGAAGAGGCAATAGAGTAGTCAAGGGTCTCATTGGGTCTTTAGATCAACGCTCGTATCAATATAAGAGAAGGAGAGGCAGGCACGAGAGCTACCAAAGCATATAACTAACTAGCCAAACACTCCCCCTCCATTAGGAATCGACAAAGGCAAACAAACTGATGGAACCTCCAACTCTAAGGGAACCAGTTCACCCACCACCTCTCAGGGGAGTCCTCCTAATGGTCTGATATGTCAAGACCACTCAAGTTGAGTGGTCTTGACATAGACCCTCACTATAAGCAATACATTGAAATCGATGGATGTTGGACTTGTATCTATCTAAAGATTTGTCTACCTAGAAGACATAGACCCTCATCAAAGCCATAATCATTTTATGATATTAAGTTTCACCACTCCTTATCTTTGGCTTAAGGTCGTCATATGATGAATATAGTTCTCAATCGAGCCAATGGTGCATCAGTTATCATAATGCTCCTCCTAATGGAGTGGGAGGACCATGATGATGCATTATAATGTTCTAACCTCTTTTCACATGGCATATATATATATATATATATATATATATATATATATATATATATATATATAT